ATCTATTGGCCAACTGATTGACCTTCCCCAGTCTGAGGGTGCTAATTGGATGGATTGCTGGGCATTAGAGATGGGCACCAACTGCCAATTTGGCAGGCCATGCCAGTTTGTTTATTGACCAAACAAGTGTTTGTTTCAGCACAATCCACACAAAAGAGAAGGGTTTCAGCAGGAAATTTTGCAAAAATATAATTTTTTTTTAAAAAAATCATGTTTCTAAAGGGAGGGAGGCCCCAAACCCCCAAATGTCAGTAAGAACTGAGCATGCTCAGTGTCATCTGTTGAGGGGAGGGTTAGTGGTGGCAAGATTTGGGATGACTCGGACATCCTGGGAAAGGGCAACCCTGAATTGTTGGAATCTTGAAGAGCGGCAGTTCATGCTGCAACATTTTGTTGTAGACCTGACATTTAAAGACAGTGAAAACCATGGGCGAGCTCTGTTTTGCTTGCCAGTTTGGGGCTGGAGAGACAAGCTGGCTGAATACAGGAAAAAAAAACAGTAGTTTTGGAGTGGAGAGGAAGGCATACGTGGTGGGAATGACGACTCATAGTCAAAAATGGCTACACAACCATGATGGAATATCTGAACAATCTCCTTTTGCCAGCCCTACCCAAGGGACATAAACAACTTAGACGTCATCAGAGTGATGGTAAGTAACGGGTGTTCCAGGATTACAGCCGGCATCTGTCTTCAATGGCTTTCATGCCCCCCACCCGCTGTGCTCTAATGGCATTTGACAATGGAAAGAAGGTGGTTTCCTTAATGTAGAAAACCTAGCAAATAAATATATAATGGCAAGGCATGTGGTGGAAGCTCTGTCAGGTGCAATGTTAGGAAAATGAGCTCAGGGAATCTGACTCAGGGAAAGCATCTCTTCCAATAAATGAAAGAAACCGCATCGCTGACATGCGGGCTTTCCACATGGTCAGCTTTGGCTTAGCTTAAACGTCCCGCGTAGTTCCTTGCCACAGTGCTTCCTTAGAGACACTCCTGCTTTCTGGATATTAGAAGAACCTGTTTTCCTTTTTTGGTGACACATGTCATCCTTTTTCATAAGTGCAAATCTGGGATTTGAACTGCCGTTGGGTTCTTTACCTTCAGCTGGTCTCAGACTGGCCACCTGTTCCCACTGGGGACACCGTCCGCAGAGCTCAGATTCTCAAAGTAACTTTCTATATCACAATTTCCAGAACCCTCCAACCAGCATAGGCAGCTGCCATATTCTCGGACAGATTTGGGGAGCTCCAGCCCAAGAATAATATTCCCAAGCTTTGAAATAGTCCTCTGACAGACATTAGGGGAAATGCACCCCTCAGAACATTGCTCACCCTTCTCTATCTGTTGCACCGTTTTTATTCCTCTTTTTTGCTGTGTTTTAAGAGCCAAAAAGTGGCCTGTTCTTTGCCAGCCAGTCCTGCAACCGTGCAGCTATCGCCATGTTGAACTGGGAAACGCTTGACCCCAAGTGGCTTCCTGCATTTTGACCGATTTAATTCAGGAGGGTTAGGAACCAGTGTTTGCAAATCCCTCTTTATCCTGCAAGTCTATGGTCAAGATTCCTTAGGGATATTGTGAATGATAAATAAGGTTGAAGCTGGCTGGCTGGCTGATTGAGTTAGATCTCCGGCTGCGAAGACAGAGGTTGGGAGTTTGATCCCCCACTTGTGTGCTTCTAGGGAGAAGAGCCAGCCTGGGTGGCCTTGGGCCAGCTGCACCGTCCCAGGGCTCCCCTGGAAGAAGGGAAAGGTAAACGACTTCTAAGTATTCTCTACCTAGAAAACCCTGAAAAATGGTTATTATAAGTCAGAATTGACTTGATGGCATCTGGTGATGAGTCTCAAGTAGGGTTTGGAACCTAGGTTTTTATTCCACCAGCCCTGTGGGTCCACAATGGAAGCAGCTGCTCTCTAAATTCCTTCTCATGCATTACACCATCCAAAAATCTCCCAGCCCACAACCTTGCAGAAGATGCAGGAGACCCCGATGGCCAGAGGCTGACAACATGTGCATCAGCAGATGGGGGCCGATGGAGGGGTTGGGGGGGCAGAGAGAGGGCCATCCCTTTTGCTAGGGATTTCTCCTCCTCCAAGCCAAGCCGAGACGGCTTGCTTGTTCTTGCCTGTCTATTGATTTTTAATCCCTCACCAATTACATTCTGTAAGTGGGTAATTTATTTCCCCGTTCCCTTTGGGAGATGCGGAGCATTCGCTGGCATCGGCTGAGTCGTGTTTAATAACTACATCTCTTTCTGAATGCACCGTTATTTACCCTGCTCAAGCCACCGAACCTTGGGAATATTTCCCTGGGTTTGAAAATACGGAGGGCTTCTATGCCTTTTGCCTGCGGACCAGAGCCTGCAGGAACAGAGGGAGGGGTGCAGGATGGAACAAGCCAGAATACAACCAAGGGGACAAAAGGGAAGATACCGACACTTTCCTTGGATCTGAAGCCAAGGAAGGGCCAAGGGAATGGTCTTTGGGACCACAGACCTAATCGGACCTGCAGATGTTCCCTGTGTGGTTTATGCAGCTCTGCAGGCCCACCCTGACTGCTGTGTGAGAATCTGGCCCCCAGCTGAATGCATTTCCTACTGTACCTCCTTTAAAGTTTCCAGGTTAAGTGCAGAGGCAATGGAGCTTCCCTCTCCGTAAAATTTCCCAAGCCCGGAGGATGGGTCTTTGTGGTGTCACGGTGGTGCAGCCGCTGTGATATCACAGGAATCATCATCATCCTTGTCATCCTAGAACTGCAGAGATGGGAGGGCCCTATGGATTACTAATACCAGCTCCTCCCAAGAAGACACAGTGGAGAATCGAACTCCCAACTTATGGCTCTGCAGCCGGATGCATAACTCACGGACTTATCCAGTGGTTATCCCTTATCTAAGAGGCTGATTCCATTGAAGAAATAAATCAGGATATAGTTTTTTTCAGTTTGGTGTAAAATCACATAAGTTTCAGGTCGGTGTATACATCCTCACGGCTGCCTCTGCAACCTTTGCCAACCAATGTAAATTATGATCCCATCAGCTGTATTATTCACACTTGTTGAAAAACAGCGCTAAAGAGGCTGATTCTATTGAAGAAATAAATCAGGATATAGGTTTTTTTCAGTTTGGTGTAAAATCACATAAGTTTCAGGTCGGTGTATACATCCTCACTGCTGCCTCTTCAACCTTTGCAAATTATGATCCCATCAGCTGTGTTATTCACACTTGTTGAAAAACAGCCCTAACAATTGCTTTGTGTTTGTGTGAGAAGTGGTTAACGGATAAAAAAAGGAACCAGTCTCTGGGATTTCCCCTCGCTTGGTGTCATTTTGTGAATGGGAGTGAGCACAAGAGGGGATCCTGAAGACCATCTCGACTGATGCCGTGGGTGTTGTCAACATTCAGGCTGCCCTCTGCTCTGGAAAGCTTGGCACCCTTTTTCCTGCTGGCAATGCGGGCATGATATTGTGCAGTAATATCGGGACATTTCCTGGCATTTTGAATTGGGGGCACAGAAGCACAGT